AAGACATTTGAAGATGTCACTCTGGGGGCCGGGAAACATTACCTGAACAATTTCTGACGTTGTATAGACTGAACGATTAATCGATATGGCAGTCATCACATTAAATATTAACACTGATAAACCTCAGTTGTGTTTCCTATTTCATATGGTCTTCTGGTTATGGGCTGCAGATGATTTTGTTGTTGTAGTACAGCGAGTGCCCACTGGGACAAATCAGCAGAAAGGCGAAGCTGCGGTGGCGTATCCAGCTCTTTTAATAAATCCACAGTTGGGGTCCTTTATAATGATGACTGAAGAGTTTGTGATTTACTGAAGCCCCTAGGAACAGCGCTGGGCTGTGAAGCTAAGTTGGGGCACTGGGCACTACAATTTCCCCATTCAACACATGATGCACACTGGCCCAAAAGGCATTTTTCCCATAGAGAGCTGTAGTTGTTCTAATGCAAAAAAAAATTGTTAATTAACCTTGTTAAAGCCACAAAGGTTTCAACTTTCAGTAGTAAGTGTTGTAGTGGTTGGTGGCTTGTTTTAGAATATGAAAAATAAAAAAAATCTAATCAATCCAGAGGAATACACTTATTCTTATAGTCACCAGTGGAAAAAAATACTAAATATAAATTATAGTTGAATGGGACTGGCACATGGAGGAAAAATGTGTTTTAAGGGATTAGTAGTTTCATTCACACTGAGCTTTACCAAAAACATGACCAATAAGCATCTGAAGTCTGTAAACAACCAAAACAGTTGCCCCATCTCAACACAGAGGGGGTGGTGATGAATTGCCCAGTTTAATAGAGAGTGGCCTACACCTCTGCTTTAGGAAATTAGATTGTTTATACACTTGTTTGTGCAGCTGCATGGTGAGATAGTACAAGCAACAGAGAAGGAGGGTTGCTGTATGTCTGCCAGTGAATGGACACTGATAGTAAATAATGACAAGTTCTCAACTTATAAAATGCCTTTAGTCTGCTAGCTCTTGCAGCTTATAGTTGTAACCATGCCAGTGCTATTTCCTGTCCCACCTGCTTTTCTCATCAGTGTAAATTTCATCCAGGCTGTTATGGTCTGACACACCTTTTGACCTGCCTTGCAGCTGAAAATGGGTTATTATATAATAGCAACGTCATTGAAGGATGTGTACTTCAAACACGAAGGAAACAAACTCGTTTTACACAGGTTGCTTTTATTTACTCTCACATCTTGCATCAGAAGATCTCATAGCAAACTTCAGAGTGGAAAAATGACCCTCAGTACAGATGACTTTGTGAATGACGGTGGGGAAAATAATTGACACGCTTTTATATTCTGTTAAAAACTGTAGAGCTTTACGTTCTCCATGTGTTTGCAGCAAGATTTAAATTGATAGAGCACAGCAAAAGTTATGATTAAATACTATGAAGCAGCTGGCAAGCATGAAAGGAATCTGTAAGAAAGAGAAAGTGATACAAGCCTATCAATAGTTGCAAATGCTCACAGGCAAAAAGGGCTTGTGCATGTGTGTATATACACACATTTTGTGAGGGGAGGCGGCAGTGGCGGTCAGAGTTTGCACACCTAAAATTTCTTCAAAAAAGTTAAATTCTGTACTTTGACTTCCTTTTGTGATGTATCAGTGATTAGTTTTCTTTAGTTCTACTGTTTTGTGATGCTCTTGTGACCCTGAACATGTGCCTCCTCATTTACATCTAAATGCTTAAACTTGTTGGTTATTCTGGTGTGGCTGGGTAGTTAAAACACCTGCTAGCCTGATGGATGCCAGTTTTAGTGTTTGCTTATTAGCTAAAGTGTTTGATCTTGGACCTGCTATTTCTCATCCAGGCATATGATCCAAACAGAAGGAGGAAACTGACACTTAACAGCTTAAGTGGTCAGCGGGTACAAAAAAAAAAACCCCGAATGATCCAGTATGGAAGTTTTTTTTTTTTCCATCATTAATGGTTTAGAATATAAAAAGGATTTCTTAAATAATGAGGGTTGAGATTTGATGCCAGCTGACAGCTAGTATTGCACAGTTAATAGAGTTTTATGTTGCAGTTTTACTTTCCCCATTTAATAAATAAGTAAATTTAAAATGTTACCCGTACCAGAGTTGTAGCAGTGAGTGAATTCTGACTCATAATCTTTACCCACAGTATTTAGTATTTCATACATCATTTTCCGTCATGTGAATTTTACTGGTTCATAGTTGAAAAAGAGTTGATTATAGGGCTTATTTTATTATTGATAAATACAAACATTATTTATTTTATTGTTTGGTTCCTAAAATATCAGAAAACATTGAGAAAGCTCACGTCTTGACCCATTTAAATACATTTTTTATGTCTGTCCATGAGTCTAAATTCTAAAGATATTTGGTTTATTTTCACAAGTAGCAAATATTCACATTTTCGAAACAGGGACCAGTTAACTTAAAAGATACTTCAACAATTAGCCTAGCTGGTCTAAATTGCTGAAATATTATCTGTTGATGGACTCTGCAATTCATTTTATGGCTCTTTTTGCCACTTTTACTTTTTACTGTATGTGCCATTTTCTCATTCTTCTATCTTCTTAAAAGAAATATTAAATTGTGGTTTGGTTCCTTCCTTTGTGCTTTGTTTGCAAAGCTGTTAATGTTGCACAGCTCATCCTCTTGCACTTTGGTGTGAGTGACAAACTAACTCGGCGCCATGTGGTTGAAATGTGTCTTGTGGCTTATTCTTTGTCTCCTTCTGTGTTGCAATGCTCAGTGCACTGTCTCTGTTTTTACCACAGACCTGAAGCATACAGAGAACCACACCAGACCACAACTCACCAGACGAGACCCGGCTTGAGCTCAGTTACTGACCCCTACCCTGCCCCCCTCCCCCTAGCCGTTCAGGCTACGTCCATCGACATTCTGTGATCAGCAGCAATTTACTGTGCTGATCAGAAAACCTAGACCACTGGGACTGGATAGGAGACCCAGAGGTTCCCCCCACTGGAGCTCTAAGCTGTGCCTGGCAATGCCTCAGGTAAGAGGGACCATGTGGAAAGCCCTATTGGTTATTTCCAGCTGTTGAACACTTAGCGGATCAGTCAAAACTGTATGAAAAGCCATAGTGTTGTTAAACCCTCACAGAGACAAATATGGACTTGTAATTTTACACCTGTAGGAATTATTGTATATATCTTTACTTATAAACCAAAACTTAATTGAGCAACACTATCGGAATCAATTTAGAAAGAATTCAGATTCATCAGAAACTGAACAAAATCTGCATTGTTTGTGGAGGTGAGTGACTGACCTAGTTTCAGTGTGATGTCTGTAGATGCTGAGAGCATCTGTACATTAGTTACCTACTGGAGCTAGACTGATATATCAGCCGCATTGATATTAACTTTATTGCAGATACAGTATGTCAGAATCTGAGCAAATGTCTGGTGATAGACAAACAACAGGTGCATAAATAGGAGGAGTGTGACAGGTGCATAGCTTGTTGGAGAGAACTCGGATGTTTATTTCTGTAACTGGCAATACATCCTGTTCTGTACTGTTGGCTGATGTATATCTTTACTGGATATTTTAAACCCATTAATATTGATTGCAGTGTTGGCTGGGCTTTCTTACCTATGTAAATAATACATGCAGAAGAAACATAGCTTTTACTCTTTGACTTGTTCTACACCTACTCACGTGATTAACTTAGGAACTGTTCAGTGGTGTGGACCTAACATGACATGTGATTACAGTCACATAGTCAAACATCTGTGTCCACTTCATCTTAAGATTAGTTTGCAGACAGAAACCTCTCAGCTCAGCAAAATACAGAAAGCACTCATAAGGTTTAAAATGACTAGCCTTACAGTTTCCTTTAAATTTAAATATCCATTATAGTTTGTTCACTTAAGTGTTTCTTCTCTCCATTGTGCTGCAGCCCAGTGTCAGTGGGATGGAGCCTCCCTTTGGGGACGCCTTTCAGAACTACTCATTTGCTGACCAGGCCCTGACCAGCACTGACCTGCTCGCCACTAGCTCTGACCCAGATTTCATGTATGTACTGGTGAGTGTCTACACACACACACACGCACAATCAGATGACACAGAGAATTACTCAACCTAATATAAAAGCATAGACACTGTTAACAGCTGTTTGTGCAGCTGTTACTATCAGCTATACCTGAATATTGCATAGATCTATTTACACACATACACACACAGACTTGTCTCACCAAGGCTGTGCTACAGAGAGGCATCAGGCTTTGTTAACCATCCTTTGAGCTTGGCATCTTTTCAGATCGGTCACAGCTGCTCACACTGCTCTGTCACTGAGTTGCATCTGAATGAAGACAGCTAAAATTCAGTTTACCAATGCATTACTTATACATGCACCATAGTCTTCTCAGATACAGATTACTGTTCTCAGCCCTTTTACTGTGCTGGTACATAAATAAATACAAATGTTGACTCAGTCACTGAAGCATTTATTTTCTTTTTATCGATTTACTGACACTTAAACCTCAGTCATACTAAAACCTGTATTATACTCTATAAACAATGACAACACAATAAAAGCTTTCACCATTGGTCGCTGATGCTAACTGAACATTTCCAGATGCTGCCAGTTCACATTAATATCTCTCCCCTGGCAAACTAGCTGTAGCATTTTATTGTGAAGCAGCAAAACAAGCTTTGTTAGCACTGCTGTTGTTCAATAAAAACAGGTCTACACAACATGATAAAGATGTATTCTAGTCAGCGGATCAGTTGTAAACATCGGCAGGAGGAACACTTTAGACAGAAACAGCCGCTGTAAGACGTTAACTGAAGAGCTGCAGGTGACAGGCGCTTAATGCGGTTGGCGAGATTCAGCACCCCTCCAGTGCGTCATCAAGGTAAACAACTTGCCTGACTTGAACATGCTGTGCAGTGGAAAAACACTTGGACCGTGCCAGTGTGGCTTGAGTGATTGCAGCTCAGCTTGGCACAAGTATCCCCACCCATATAAAAAAATATTGGATTACATGCTACACAGCACTCAAGCTCCCAGCAGAGAACTGTGTCAAATAGATACATTTGTTTTCATAACTTAGTAAAATTCAAATAAATAAGACATTCTTTACATTTTGCACCTCTGTACTATATGTTACATTTTAAATTTTTATCACTATTTTCAGCCATGTGTTTGATAAAAATACTTGGGCTTTCCTCACCTTTTACAGTGGTTTTTAGGCATAGTAGTACTAATAGTGAGAATTGTATGAGTTCAAATTCCCCAGAGCAACCTTAAATAAACACATGCACTCAGCTGCCACTGCGGAGTTTAAGTCAGAGAGGCTTGTATTGAATTGTTTAGCAGCCGTGTGACATTTGCCAGGTGATGTGAGGCGGCTTTAAAAAGACCTCTCTTTTATTCAGGGTTTTCCTGTAATTTATCACCTGTCTGTACACAGAGTAGTTTTTTTTCCACTATTTTACATATTGTTCATGTTGTAGTCTTAAGGTAAGATTCAGTTTGTCCACATAGTTTTTTTTAACTTACATGTGCAGTTCTGTCATCCTTTTGATGGAGGTTTCAGTTCCGCATTTTTACCACACCTCAGATAAAACTGAGACAGCTCTGTTCCAGGTTAAGCTCTAGTAACATCTTGGTAAATTGGCACCATTACAAATATGCTGAATGAGCTTTTAGCAGTTCCTGTTTACAGCGTACCCATGCATGTGCAGACAACTCTCACTGGATTACTTTGATACTGAAGGAAACTTGACAAGTTCAAAGTTTTCCCTATTTATTGTTTATTATTTACAGTGGACGTTGGAGTGAGCGAGCGAGTAACTCTGAATCTAAGGTTGCAGTAATCAGTTTTTGGTTTTTGGTCTTTGTGCAAGTTCACAAAATCCTCTCAGTATATCACAACCAGAATACAATAAACAAGAAGGTCTTCTAACCAACCACCTATTTGACTCACCCCCATCTTTTCCTCCTCTCTGCAGGACAGAGACATGACCCACCGGCAGAGCCCCTGTGGGGACAGCATGGTGGGGGTTGGGGACGGAGGAAAGGAAGTGGAGGGTGGCGTGGATCAGCTCATGGGTCTGGGCGAGTGCGAGACGGTCCACAGCAGTTCAGCATTCGAACAGTGGGACTCCTACTGGGAAGACCTTACCAGGTACTGCATTACTTATGTGGTGTAGATTTATTTTTAGATCTTGTTAAAAACCGCTGCAAGTAAATAAGACATAAAAACTTACTGACTAATTAAATAAAACAAAAACTGACATTGATGGTGGCAAAGAATTGTGCATGACATCATTTGTGAATGGATTGTGCAGTAACTAACACAATATTAAATAGTAAAGGAACTAGACGTTGGGTAAAATGTCCAGAAGAGTGGTTTTAATGGGCAGCAAATCACTGGCTCTGAGAAAGAAGTGCCTGGAAACAGTTGCTCACAGGAGCCACTTAAAATGGTGATGTTTTTGTGGTTTTGTTGTGGTAGTTTTTAAGAGAGATATAAATTTAGGGATGTAACAAAAGCAAAAACTCGGAAGTGTGTGCGATATTACCACATTGAAAAATGCCCACAGCAGAATCCCCAGAGGCCAGCATTTTCTCTTTACACTGGCTGGTGGCTTTTTGTTATACAACCAGTAGTCAAAAGCCAAGATTAATTAATTAACGCTTGAGCTGAGTTCCTTGAAGTCAAGGAAGGCTCCCTGCATCATGTGGGCTCAGGATGTTGGAGAATTTAATGCAAGCAGATGAGAAGTGCATCTGTGAACGTTATGGGATGGGACAGGTGCCTTAAGGTTTTTATAGCGGCAGAGTTTTTCATCACTGACCGGTAATCGTCAGGGCAGGTCATCTTGGTCTGACACAAGCAGAAAACTGGATGATTTGCTGCAGGTACTGCTTTACATTGGAGGCAGGGTGTGGTTTTAAAAGGCCAGTAAACAACACAGCAGCTGGCTGCCGCAGTCTCCTGGGCTCTCAGGTGGTGCTTGGTTTACCCAGCAGCTATCCAGATGCTCCCCTGCCAAAATTGTTTGTGTCCTTTCCCTTCTGATCTTGAGTGTCAGCTGAAGACAGACAACGGTCTCTGAAGTCTAAAGCTTACTAAAACTGGGGTGGAATACTTCTGGCTGTTGTGGAGTTAGGGGAATAACAGGGTTGATTAGGTCATGTTTGTGAACCACAGGAAAATACTGTAACTTTTGGCTAATGACTGAGTCACTGTTTTACAGCCTTGATTGTCCACATTAGTCCCATTAGTTGTTGTTTGGTAGCTTTCTTGTGTTATGGGATGTGTCTGGGTCAGTAGGATTCACATTCAGTTTTTGTGCTCTGTGGTACCTTTGCTCCTTATTGTGGTTCACCAAACAGTTGTTTTCTTCATCTGTGCCTGTGCAAAGTTGAAAAACATAAACTGGGCATAAAATAAAAATTGATTCTTCATGGTAAAAGTGTAAGCTATAGCAAGCTAACATGGCCAATGCATGGCAGAGATGTTAGACATTCACTATTTGTGTCTAGTACACTGACCACAACCTTTACACCTCAGTCAAACAGAAAGCCATATTATACCCTAAAGACAATGAGAAGACAGTGAAAGCTTTCGATGTTGATAGAGCTGCCTCTCTGTGCTTACAGATACACACGGCTGGCCAGCTGTGACATCTGGGGCACCAAAGAGGTGGATTTCCTTGGACTGGATGACTTCTCAAGTCCCTACCAAGATGAGGAAGTGATTGGTCAAACCCCAACGCTGGCTCAGCTCAACAGTGAGGATTCGCAACCTGTGTGTGAGGCACTCTACCCTCCTGCTGACCTGACACTGCCTCCCCCTCAGCCTCAGTCTCAGCCCTCCCAGCTTCCCTGTCACAGTAAGAGATCCCAGATTCCAGGACAAGGAGCCGGGTCTGCACGGCCCTCCCAGAGCTCTACATCGTCTTCTCGTCCTTCCCGCAGCCTTCTCCCAGACTTCCCTGAAGTCTCCCAAAAAGCCACCAGACCTGTCCCCTCCAGCACTGACACTATGGCCAAGACCCAGAGCCACCTCAGACAGGAACACAACCAAGTTATAGGCAAGCCCCAAGGGCGAGGAACCAAGATGATAGCGCCTTCTTCCCATGGCTCTGACTTTGTGCGGAAGGCTAAAGTCCGTGTGAGTGCTGTGCACAAAGCTCAGCCTGATATGCCCTCCCAGACAGATTTTGAGAGGTCAGATCCTCCTCTACCTCTCTCTCAGCCTCAAGATGAGAAGGCTTCCACTTTAGCCAAAGTCACTTTGGCACTTCCTGGAGCTGCAGCCGGTGGCTCTGGAAGCCTGACAAGCTTTGAGAGGAGGTCAGAACGAACAGGGAGGAGAGAGATGCCTGTAGGGTGGTCTGCCCCTGTGCCTCAAGTAATCGAAGCGAGCCAGACCCTGGAGGGCAGCACCTCTGGCCCGGTGACCAGCAGCAATATTGTGGCTGGAGCTAGCAGTGGCAGCGACGTTCTGGTCGTAGAGGGCACAGAGAAGAGCAAGGAGGAGGAGCACAACTACTCTCTTTTCCTGACCCGCAGCAGACTGACTGCCAGAGCCCTCTCCCAGCTGGAGGAGGATGAGGAAGAGGAGGACGAGGAGGAGGCAGAGGAAGAAGAAGGTGATGGGCTGGATCTGGCCGATGAAGATCACGATGAGGGTTTTGGCAGCGAGCATGAGCTATCTGAGAATGAGGAGGAGGAGGAGGAGGAGGAGGAGGAAGAGGATGAAGACTACGAAGCAGACAAGGACGATGACATGAGTGACGCCTTCTCTGAGCCAGGTAGTGACCTGTTAATCTTCATGCTCCTAGGTTACTTTTATTTCTGTTTGTATTTTCTCTTAATTTTCTTTTTTGTCTTTCTTTTGCTCTGATTTCCTTCTTATCCATGCCCCTTGCACTCCCACCTCAACAAGGTTGCGACATGGAGCTGATGGACGACATTAAAGGCCTGACAGCCGGAGTCTCCAGCCGGAAGAGAGGCAAGCGTCGCTATTTCTGGGAGTACAGCGAGCAGCTCACCCCCTCCAAACAGGAACGCGTGCTTAAGCCGTCTGAGTGGGACAGACATACGCTGCCTAGCAACCTGTACCAGAAGAACGGGCCTCTCCATGGTATACATGCATGCGCTGACACATACACAGCACTTCATTAGGTTCACCTCTACAATTGAATGCAGACAACAGCCCTGCCATGACATCTATGTTTATGAAGCTTGTAATTTTTTTTTTAGCTTTTTGTGAAATAGTTTGATAATGTATAAATTCAATTATAGATGTATTATTTAGGCCATAGTTAAATGTGGTGTTATACTGGACTATATTATATTCAGGGCTGTTCCTAATATTCTGGCCCCCTGATGTATGTAAATGGAGAGGACAAAATATAGACACCACTGAATATAACAGGCACAGATGTGCTCCTTTAACTGAAAAGCAGATGAACTACAGGCAGCAAAAGATTGCTCTAGCATTCATGTTTATTTAGTCCTTTTGTCCTATAATGACTTTTGTCTGACAATGTAGACGATGACTCGTATTGCATTTGTATCATTTATTATTGGGTTTCAAAGCGAAAAAACACTTCAAGCTTATGGCATTTAAAAATTCAATCACAACTAGGGAGTTGTGGTCCAGCACACAGTGAGTGTTTATGTTATTAGTGAACCCAGACCTGCTGTCGATCCACCACAGGTGCCACTAACTGTGACTAAATGGAAAATCTGTTTGTTGCTGTCAACAATGAGAACAGGTTTAAGAGATATTCAGTGGAGGAGTGAAAAATAAACTTTGTTACCATTTCTTACATACTCGTGTGCTTCCCGCCAGCTGAAAGATTAACTGATGTGAGAGTGATCTCTGATGTCTTCTTTTTTGTCACCTGTCATGAAGGAAAATACATGCTGAAGAAGTCACGCCGCACAGATGTGGAGGACCTGACTCCTAATCCACGCAAGCTACTGCAGATCGGCACCGAGCTCCGCAAACTGAACAAGGTGATCAGCGACTTAACACCGGTCAGTGAGCTGCCGCTGACAGCACGACCACGGTCCCGTAAGGAGAAGAACAAGCTGGCGTCCAGGTATATCATGTACTTATATACATCACATGCACACAAGAGTTTCCCAGCTATTCTGTATAATCACACTTATAATTTGCACTCTTGATTAGTTTTATCACTTAGAACATGAGTGTGGCTTATGGTAGTTGTAGTCAAGATGCTGATTTGGGAGCAGTATGTCATGTTATCTGTTGCGTGTCACAGAGCTTGTCGTTTAAAAAAGAAGGCCCAGTACGAAGCAAACAAGGTGAAGCTCTGGGGACTCAGCACAGAGTACGGTATGTTGCAACCACACTATATAGATTTTACATCCAATCTATTCTATTTCTCTTAAATTCTCTCTCTATATTCTCTATATATGTGTGGGTTTCTGCAGATCGCCTGCTGTTTGTGATCAATGCCATCAAGGAGGAGATTGTGGCACGAGTTGAGGACTCTTCTCCGCGTCCAACCAACATGACTGACACACTGGAGCGGCTCATCCACGAGACACTCGGTGAGAGTTAAACAGGGGCCTGCTGAGCCATTCGAAGCTGACCGGTAACATAAAATAGACAGTATCTTCATATAGTCTTCTCCTTACCAGCTAAATCAACTGAAATTCAAACATTCCAGTGTTAACAGTCCTGTATTTGCAGACTCACAGAATAAGGAGCAAATAAAGCAATACATCCACACCTGTATGGGAGTAAGTCGAGGTTCCATAGGCAATTTTTTTGACTGTTTTGGGAAACTTTAAATAGTTATCTTAGAGGAGAGTTAATGAAAATGAGTTTCTTTCTAGAGTAAAAAGAGCATCTCTCATAAATTAAATCATTACAAGACTCTGTCTCATACATTTGACAATGAAATATAGGTCAAGGTAGGCATGCCTCCATCAACCAGTCAAATTTACAGGAATGGGACACACATAAGGTCAATGACCTTTGACCACCAAAATCTAATCGGTTCATCTTGTTCAGTGTTCCTGACATAGTGCGTTCACAAGAATGTGCTAAATGGATGTACAGACGACCTGAAAACATAATGCCTCCAGCTGCAGCTGTCGCATAGAAGACATTTCACATAATCTAAACAGAGCAGAGTTGAACTTTTATGAAAAAAGCAAAGTTATTTTCTCCTAGTTTAGAAAAGCAGATGTTGAGAAACAGTGTAGCTACTGTTAAGACGGCAAATGACTTGGTTATCAACCCAGAGGAGGTAAGTGTTTCCTTTGCATCATATTGTAAACATTAATAACAAAAATAATATGGTGGCAATTAATGACTTTTTAAGGATAATAGAGGGCCCTGCTTATTTGAAGAATAAATGTTCACTGGTGAAAATGTTGCAGTAGTTAAAATATGCAGTATAAGAGCTTACATCAAGTTTAGTCTGACCAGGCAGGATAATGATGATAAACTACCTTTTCTGTAGCTGTATGAAATCTCTCTCTTCTTATGTATATCTGAGACAAGTACGGTGCATAAACCATGTGTTCTTTAACCTCCAGCATTTCTGAATGTATTTTATGTGTCTCTGTGTGTGCAGTGGCATCACCTGTTGCTGGGCAGACTTCGGACTTCGTCAACAAGATCTTGGAGAACACAGGACACGGCGATCCCACCGGCGGACTGGTCGGCCTGCGAGTCCCCACCTCCAAAATATAGCCACAGCGCAGTCCACTGAGAGAAGTGGACTTACACATTACCACCGTGCTGTCCCATTGTAACTATGCTCCCCGCTGCATGCCCCTCCAACCCAGAGTACATACACATTGTTAGTTGCACAGACAGACATACCACTCCCTGTGTGTATGTATGTGTGCTTGTTTTAGCCATGCACTTGTATGGCACACATCCTAGCTTTCTGTCTCTGCACGCCGTGTGCACAGTCAGTACATCACTGTCTCCCAACCCATTGTGAACGACTGTTGGGAAATGTACTTCTACAAGCAAGTGATAGTTCGGTGTATAGCTAAGAGCACATCCTAAATCCACTGGCAATTATTAGATGTGTTTAACATAGCAGTGTGTAGGGTTGGTTCTGTTGGAGGTCTGCTTCCAGGGCTGTGACGGTCACACGAGTGCAACCACTGGAATATTTTCTCACAATTTGTTTGAGGTTGTAATGATAGAGGAAGAACTATTAGGAGCCTGAGACCATCAAAGGCAGAAAGACTTCCAGTTATCATTTCCTAGAAGAGGTTCACCTCACATGGCGACAGAATGAACTCATGGATGATAAATTAACCCAATCAAAAAAGCACTTTGAAAACCGCTTTGGTTGCAAAGACAGCTGCTGAGAAGAAAGCAGTGTGCTCCAAGGCGTTACAGGGTGGCAGGAAATATTTTGTATTGAAGGCCTAAATATGTTCATGCCATCCCCTCTCTGCCAATCAGCTCTGCTGTTAAAATGTAGGAGTTAACTCTTAGCAAATTAGTGCATTAGATAGAAGTTCAAATTTAAAATTTAAGTGACATTCTTGCAGCAGGCGCAGGAAGCTGGTGACAATAATTTACACAACAAGCGTTAGTTGACCAGAGAAAGCGCGCATAGTTTGGTGCTTATTAGCCTTGTGCTGGTTAGAACTGGACTGGACGAAATGGGTATTTTGCCAGTATGGGAGCAGACTGTGAAGAAGAAGATGATGAAGACGAGATAAACAGTGATCCATCTCTTCTAGGAAACTGTACATAAAAGTGTCTCCCAGTGAAAAATGGCACAGGCTCCCCATTTTTGTACAGTAGGGATGAACAGGCTAACAATTTGGTATGTTCATACTAGTGTTTGATCAGAGTTCAATTCATTGTGCCTTGTTTATGTATGTGTGTTTCTGTAAGTCTGACTGTGTGTGTGACAGGGACTGTACGAGAAGAGGTGATTGGTCAGAGTTCCCGGTGGTCCGGTGTAAAAGAGGACTGCGTTACACTGAGGGAGATTGTTAGTGAGAGTGAGGAGGGAGACACCTGTGGGGTTTGTCGTGTATTTCAGTTGTTTAAAGATATTCTGAATGTACATAAAGCAAATGGAAGCTCTCGTTGCGTGATGCCACAGAGTCTGTGTATATAGGAGGGCTCCGCAATAGATTACTTATGGTTTTTGGTACTTTGTCTTTAGGGATTGGGAAAGGGTTAACTGATATTTTTGTTAGTTACAAAAAAAAAATTTGCACACTATATTTTGATTGTTTTTTGTACCAAAGACACATGCAACGAAATGGCGACCAGCCAGTTAAAGTAAGGTTTTGCACAGCTTACCTGACGCCGTATTGAATGTAAGAAATGTGGGAGGGTCAGGGAACTTAATAGAACTGTGAAATTAGCTTGGGTCCAATTCTGTACAGAAAAGGAACATTCTTTTTTTGATTGAATCTAATTCGATCCCGTCTCTGGGCTTCTCCAGTACATTTGTTGCTTAGGAAGCACTTCATTCCTGAACTGATTCCTCCCTCCGCATGCTAATTGTATTAATGGCGTGTCTAGGACAAAAACCAAGAGCGCTAGTAGATAAGCTATGTTATATTTTTGCTTGTTTGTCCAAGTGTCACCAACAATAACCAAAATGTTATGTTACTGTGTCACTTGTTTGATTTCTGTATGTAGGCGGGGTGTAGTTCATCAACAGAATATTAACAGAGTTGTGTTTTAAAGTACTGTATATAGAAACAATTATTATACATCTATCAATGGTGAAATGCCACTTTCCACGACAGTAGAAAGCATGACACATTTTTAAAGGCTATCCTTGCATTGAAAATAATTAGAGGAAAAACATAAAAACCAAAAAAAAAAAAAAAGTCAGTGTTATATTTTTATATTTTAGCTGCCTGCTAGCTTTCCTGTTGGCTTGGAAGTATTTGTTGGTCAGATTTTCCAAGTGGAGTAAAGGAGATATGGGACAAAAGAGAACAGTCGCCAAGACAAGCCAGTTAATCTGGTAATTTGAGCTATAAAGTGAGGCTTGACCCCCTCGTTCTCCTGTGCTGACTGAGTGAAATACAGAGAATCAGTACTGGACATACTTAACAGTGCAGCAAAGCCATGGTGTCGCTTTAATGACACCTTTGTCTTGAGTGAGGATGGGAAGCAGAAAACTCAGAGGATGGCAGAAACAGTGTTGTGAGGACAGGTGAAGAACCAGCAGCAGTTGTCACAGACGCTGTGAGAAAGCCAAAGCCATTTGAGTCTGTCCCCGACTGATCTAGATTCAGCACTATGCGTTGTTCAGATGTTCACACCTATTCCCTCATTAACCACGAGGTCAAATTTTGTTTTTCCTGGGATTGGCGTCGCTGCCTCAGAGGTTGCATTATTGAAATTTGTCCCACTGGTGTTGACTTTGGTCCTCACCTTACGTCCATCCTGACCGGTCACAACCGCAAGGAATAATTTCATTTGCCATAAGAGTTGCACGAATATGGCAACCTATAAAAGTGCATGGTGCCTGTATGCTGCCCTTTCTGCTGCCTCCTCAGAGGAAACACTGTCCTTCCCAGGAAGTAACAAAAACCAAGACTTTGATGACTTTGTATGATGATGCAGAGCTGTGGTCGAGAGATGGTGCTCTTTCTGAAACTAGGATGATGAGTCTTCATGATTCTTAATTGACTTCTTAGTCTAGTTGTAGCCTAATGACTTGCTCTCCCTTAACTGTCCATAGCTATTTTCTTAGTAGTGGTTCATTTTTGTAAATAGAATATAAGTTAATATGTATCTTCTAGTTGTTAGACATATGTATAGAATACTCTATTTTATGTTTGAAAACAAAAGCACTTTGTCCAAAAAAGAAAAAAAACAACATTTTTTTTTCTTCCATTTGCTGCTAAAAGGCCTGGTGCGAATGCTGCAAGTGTTCTTGATGACTGCTTACTAGGATGGGATTATTCCCTGACTTGGCTAGGTCTGTAATCAAGCAAGGAGTAGGTGTGTGTTTCTGGAGCCATGGAGTGATATGAGGCATTGTGTGAGAGAATAGGCTTCGAGAAGCTTGGCGTCTTGGCAGGATTGGTCTATTTCCTGGTCGAGGACAGTGTGGTCTTAAAAGAAAAAATAAAAAGACAAAAAAAAGAGGGTTTTGATTCCAGGGCCCCTACAATGATCCTGATGCTGACCCCCTTGGTGTCATGATTCATTTGCCTTCAGTAGAGGTTTCCTATGGAAAAACTGATTCTGCTTTGGCTTCCTCTTCAGGGTGATGTACAGTGTAGACACATTTCTCCAGAGAGCTATATTGTTATCATTTGTAAACTGATTTCTACTTGTGACTTAATGAGGAGGGGTTTAGCCTGGGACGGCCAGGAAGAGCACGTTTGAAAGATGTTGTTCCGGGCCGCCTTGGGGGAAGTTACTATATCACTGTACTGTATGGCAAGCCAATTACAAATGGAGACTCAATCCGGACACTTATTGCCTTCTTAAATCACTTTCCACATGTACACAAACAAAAACAATAAAATGGCAGACAAGTCAGCTGCCAAGGGGCCGTGCCTGAGGTTTATGGCATTGTTCTGCCAATATCCAAGTCAACAACAATAACAAGACTATTCAGCCTGATTGGCTCAAAACAACCTTGACTGAAGTAGCAGACTTGGTGAAATGTATCTGAAAAAATGGCTGTTTGTGCTCAGCTGTATCCTCCGGGACAAATGTTTTCAGCTGTAATTTCACCCAGGTCTGGCAGGGGGTCAACAGTGGTTAAAGGGCCGCTGGTTGACGGCTGTCTGGCAAGAGAAGTGCGTGTTTTGTTGTCGATCACAGGGCTGGTTCAAGAGAGCGTCCTCACAGGTTTTTACATTTAGCGTGATAGGCGCAAGCTGTGCAACTTTACATCAAACCAAGAGACTCTGTGGCATTTTAACAGTCAAGGAAATGAGTGAAAATCCACGCCAGTAAAACTATTCCTTTTTTTTTTTCTTTCTGATAAATCCTATACAGTCAATTATTAAGCTACTAGAGTGTGTAACTTTGTGCTACTCTTGTCCAATAAAAGCTAAGTGGATACATAAAGCTCTTCTTCAGCAAATCAGGGTAATATCGTTCTTCTATCTGATATATGTGATGACATATAAAATCAAAAGAAAATATATTTATGTATTCCAGTTGTCGCCATTCTTTACGCTGTACAAAATATCGTGTGTGTGAGTGTTATGAATTATCAATGTCAATCAATATGGTGCAATGTTCTCTACACAAACTGAAAAAAGGCCAACAGACTTGTCACAATGTTTCTTTGCCCTCTTCAAACACAACCATTCTGATTTCCAGCCGTGATCCAACTGGGGTTTGTCACGTGGTGCTGATTGCTTATTGGACTAGCATCTGTATTCAGATCCACGCACACGTAACATTGTCCATGTGATTATTGCTCCCAATAACTGTCATCAGACCATTTGATCGTTGTCACTGACTCTGTTCCAACCTGTTGGACCAATCGGAGGAAGTATCAAAATGATTCTTGCTCCAAACAACAACAGACTGGTGATCTCTGTATTATTGACCTGGATGATTGTTACTGTTGAGTGCACCATTGTTTCTTTTGTAAAAGCCAGACTCCAGATTTGATACCACTGCAAAGAAATTATGGAGGTTCTTTTTCCCCTTTTTATAGGTAGAAAATATTCATGCCTGCAAAAAATAAAAATACTCTGATACATTAGGACATTGTTGCTTTTTCTAGCAAGTGGAATTTCCTTATAACGTTAACATGGAAAAATAGCTTGATTAAAATGCAACATATATGTCCTAGAATGATTTCCAGAGGAAATATTCGGTAACGCTTTGCTTTACTGTCTAATTTCTGAGAAGTGTCTTTGTGAGGCCTGCCCCATTTGGTACTGGGGAAAATGGAGACTGTGATGAACTGATAGTCTAACAGTTGATTAATTCCAGTGAGTCTGTGCAAAGCACGTTGGCTGAACTTGACAAAATATAAAATGTATCTACATTAGCAGTTGGTAGAGAGCAAACCAAGGCTAATCAGGCGACATGAAGCATGACTCTAAAGCTAATATTTGTTAAGATGTTTGCTTAAACAACTTTGTAAGATGATATCATGTATCCTGTTTGCAGAGGTTGTAATGGGGAAGTTCTTTCAGGAAAACTCCTCCTTTCCCTGTGACGAGTACCAAAAGACAATACTTCTTAGACAATCCTGCATCCATAAAATGAGCGTTACCGAATATACTTGTGTTAATCATCTGGGTTTGTGGAGAATAGAAAGTAGAAATGATTTCCCCTCCTGCTGGCTGTGATATCAGATCTCCGAGTCTGGCTTTGGATGTTTTTTGTCTTCGCACCCACATGTGCTGCCCTTGTCACTTGTACAAACACCTCCTCTCCTAAGAGGCTGTATGCTTACTACCCTCTGTGTAAATTAGATACATACAGAAATGTGCTTTGTGACAAAAAAGTAAATGCAGCGGGAATGACGTTTTTGCATGCCGATTCCCCGCATAGCACTGAGAGAACCCGGTGACATCTGGAGTTGCTTGCAGATCAGGAGATGGTTCGGCCAGTGGTCATAAAGCGTCTTCATCGTCACACGGTTGTTGCATGGCTTTTTGGGGCTCACTGTACTCTCAGTCGAATGATTTCATACTTGCTGCTATTGAATGAGCACAAAGAGACTTTAGATTTCGGTTTAGGGTGTCGGTGACACAATGACAGTATATTATTACCACACACCCCCCTGTTTTTGTTTTACACCGTTTCCTAAGACAGTCAAAAGAACAACAGCGTTACTCACCTTGCACTTGGT